CAGTTACTTTCATATGATAACTTTAGTGATCAATACAGTGTATACATTTGGAAGAATAAAGCAATGTAATTTGTTTCTTTTTCTCTCTCGCTTGTTTGTGTGGGTGCGGATGTGGTTGTTGTTCTACGTAAGTTTATACATGGTTTTTGATCTAAGTGTGTTTCATTATGTCAGTATCAATATGAGCCCTTTGACAGGTTACTAACGGCTATTGTCTCGGATCACCCGTCCGATAGCATGTTCACTACGTTTCGACATACACCGGTTCGGTGCTAGTATGTGGTTAGTAAGTATGTATGAGGAGCTCGAGCAGTTGGGCGAAAAGAACTCTGGTGAGTGATTATCTGATAAGATTTTTACAATTAAAAACAAACTATTACGACTTATGGGGAATAAGTTCAAAACTGTGGATTAGGCTTTTGTGAAAAATTGCGAAGTGAAATCTTCGTCTCTCTTACCATTACTAAGTGTTTTTTTGACATGACTGTCATTTTTTGTTACTTTATACGGCTTCTGGAGGTTAAGATGGATGCGAAGGAACTTCACATCCACGCAAAAATGTATTTTATTTTCTAGTTACGATGTTTTCAAGAAACTGAAATCTTTTTGAATATAGCCTTTCGAAATGTTGATAACTACAGAGAATTTAGTCATGAAAGAGGCAAAGAAAGCTCGCCTCTGATCGTTTGCTATAGATACAGATATAGTGGCAGGATTAATTTCATCTGTTAGTTCCTTAGAAATATCAATTTGCTTAAACATATTATGGTAAAATAAATTCAAATATTCTTCTCGTCCTATGATGATTTCTTCTCGCTACTTTGAGAAAGGTGCGCATCATGCACTGATGGTACTACAAGTGCTTTAAAATTGGAACTGGCGATTTTTTCATAATATACTACCTTGTTTTAACAATATGAGACTCTAAAACCATGTGCGAGCATTCAAAGGCCACCCAGATGAATTTTTTTCCGAAATAGGTATGTTCACATGGTTCTTAATGAAATCTATGTGCCTGTTTGTATAAAACGCTCTCATCAGCCGATTTTCGATTTCTTCTTCGTACAATATATACACTTTTTGATGCAATCACTGAATTTGAGTATCATGTTATCAAACGTATTTTACAATGATTCTGAAAACAATGTGAAAACGAGCAAAATATTTGAAAAAAGAATCAATAATCAAATTAGACAAATGATTTCGATTGCTATTGAATGTTCATTAAAAAAGTAAGAAAAATTTAAACAAAGAAGAAACCGCCTTTTCCATTGGAACTAATCGCACGGTAAACTATTAAGTTTCTTAAAAAACATGCAAACACTGGAAATGTTCAACCAATGAGCTCTGAATGCATTGGCGTGGTATAAAACGAATCGTTGAAATAAGCAACATAATTTGTTTACACCCGGAACCCGATACAAAAAGAAATTTAAAACAGCAAAAGAGAAGTTCTGCAGAATGACAGTTAAAACAAGCTGGTTTATTTTTCCAATAAATCCAAAACATAAACTAAAAAATTACTGTTATGGTGTTGTTTGGCTTGACTCATTGTTATTACAGGTTGGTGACCTTTGATGACTCTCACTTTTCGTGAATACATAGTCTTAGTCTTAATTCTTAGCAAACAAAAGACGATAAATTCATAAAATCTAGCGCAGCGTTTTTTTCTACTATTAGCCGGAAAAAAAAGAGTTAGAACATGCTACAGTTTTGCTCATTAATCATTTTGACCTGGGGGATTATTATCTTTTCATTTGTTTTGATATATTAAAATTGTCGGTGTTGAATAGAGGCCTAAATCATATTGTACATTTTTTTTATCCAGGTACAAGAGTCTGAGGCTATGAAAACAACAGGTTTTGTTCCATTTGTAATACGCGAAGCACATTTCGCCTGCAAGATTCGATTTCAAAACTGCTTTCTGTTTTTGGTTAAGCCCAGGAGGCCGTATCACGAAAAAACTGAAGTCGATATCTCTTTTTCGTGGGCGATATTGTCAATAACAAGTATTCTGATATAGATGACGAGATACAGATTAAATCATCAATCAACTTGTCAACAACCTGGAAAATGCAAACAAATCAGTTCGCAAACAGATCTGGATCTGTTTCGTCACACTCTAAATCCCTTTAGTGAATGAATTCCAAACCTTCCTGCTATATAGGCTTCTCTCCTCCCCGTGGTTCAGCTGAGAAGCGGGTGTAGGGATGAAATTTTGCTTATTTTCATTTGTTTTCTTTCTTTCTAAAGTTTAACTCTCGTATCCATTTTCTAGAGAACAGTGAAGTGGCACCTACTTCAGCTAGATGATCATGAACGATACCACCCAAGACAATTTTTTTCGTGATCCCCATCCTTCTTTCTGATGATGCATTTGATCGTTGTACATCCACATCTTTATCCAACAGCATATTAGACCATAATGCCGCTGATGGTAAACAATATTTCAATAAATAATTTAAAAACTTAATATTTTTTTCATGATCTGTTGATTTTTGCTCTGATAATGGTTCATGTAAAGTCTGTTTTTTAACATCATCATAGACACTGTAAAAATTTTTTTTAGATCAGAAGTAACTGTATCTAATTCTTTTTCTTCATCAAAGAAAGCAATATATTCTTCTTGTTCGTCATTTTGCATCAGATTTCCATCCATATCGTCGACAAATGCATATGGATCATTGTTCGTTATTGATTGTTGTTCTTTTTCATTAGCTTTACCCGATGTTTTTTCATCATTAATTGTGATTCCGCGCTGACGAATATGACGAATTTTATCAACTAATGATTCATATGTTGTGGGTAGAATTTTATCCAGATAATAATTCAAAAAAAATGAACAAACTAATCGCCAATTGTTTAGCATTTCTGCCCATGTGTATGTGTTCAATAATAAAGAGCAACACCACATCGCTAATTCTTGCAACTTCTCTGGTACGTATTTGTTGACCACTCGCTTTCGAAAAAAGCACATTATGTGTGCAACGCAGGCATGTATGATGGTTTTTCCATTATCCGACGGTTGAGAAATACCTAAAAATATAATATCACGTTTCGAATGTTCAAAACTTCATTTGTATTCTAAGAACTTATCCATGACAATTCGAAAACAACGATTCGGATATTGCTGATATGTTTCTTGATTGAATACAAACAGGCCTGCTTGAATCAAAACCCACGAACGATCACTAACCATTAACCTCGGGTTTGGAAATTTCTTTTTGCCAAATATTTGTTTATGTGCATGTGTAAAATGAGCGAGTCACGTGATGAATGCGGATTGAGTTTGTGTCAACGATATCATGAAGGAGACTGGTATCAACGTATCATTTGTTTCGAGGTTGGGCACACTGATTGTCATTTCATAATATAGACGTTGGTTGACATCCTTTGATTTTCGTTTCACGATCTATCCTGTAGAGAGAAAGAATGTTACGACCAGCGTCGTCTATCCTAATTTGAAACTTGTCAATGCTTATAAGTTTCTATCAGTGTTCGAAGGCATAAAACTCTATTCTGCACATTTTTAATGTGGTATATTCATATTTTATCCTCTCAAAAGGTTAAAAATCAAGCAAAAGAATCCCTGTCAAGTGAACAATAGAAGGACGTCTGTTTCATATTTTATCATTTTTTCATTATGATTTTTAGAATTAAAAGTTAATACAACCATACCTGTAGCATCCCAAGAAAGCACACTACCAGACTGACGTATCAATAGATCATATAATCGGACTGTTCCTTCAGTATAAACGATCACCATCAATGATGGAGCAGTTGCTAACAACTGGACGGCGCCTTTTACTGTTAAATCATACGATAGATTAGTAATCCATTTTGCACAAACATTTTTTAATGATTCATCCTCGTTTTTACCGTATCGGGAATCAGCTAACAATTCCGCTTCGATTTTCTTTAACGTTCCGATAGCTTTACCAGTGTTATCAAAATTATGTGCTTGTTTTTATTGTGCTGTTCATTGTTTTTTTCGTTGAAAGAATAACTGACGTGGCGTTTGACCTTTTTTAAAATCTCTTTTAATAGCATCACGTCGTATTGGAGGAGCACATTTTTGATTGGTATGCATAACACGATTTGGCTGGTCCTTGTTCATATTATTTTTATCTGATCTCGTGACGATAAGCAGTTGACCATTTAATGATACACGAATAACACATAGAAATGGATATGAATCATGTTGACAGTAGAAAATAGCTGAAATTACATACGATGTAAATACATTTGTGTTCTTCAAGCTACCATAATCTTTATGTTTGGCACATAATGAACAATATGGATTATATTCTGAGAGATATGGTAATAATATATTGATCCATTCGAAATTTCTTTTCTTTTTCTTAATTTGTGACTGTTCATGCTTATCTGATGATGATAAATCGTCCGCAATGCCCAAAATTTTGCTACTCTGACCTTGAAAATATTTTGTTCTCATTAATAATAACTGTTGCAAAGCATCGTGTCTAATTCTACACGTATATTGAGTTTTTAATGCTGTGGTAAATGGGAATTGTTAGTCACCTGCACCATTTTTTGAATTCTTGATTATCGTCTAAAAGACAAACATAAAGTGCGTGAGTTTGCAAAAATTCTTGAATTTTTTCACACAAATCATTAAAAAGATGGCTAACTTCGGAAAATTTTTGATATTTCTGATCGACCAAGGTATAAAAGGAAAATTTCCAGTTTATGTCATTTTGGAGTAAGCATTCTTGCGCAGAATCTGATATGCCTAACTATCATTGATCAAGAGCTTTGCTAGAATATTTTCGATGAAATATTATACCAGTCATTGACACATACTGCGTTTAGGTGAACGGTTTGCTTCCGGCAGTGTATCAAAAGTTGTTGACGACATTGACTTTTTCGGACTGGATTCAAATTCCAAAGGGTCATCTCCATCTATAATAGATTAACGACTGAACAATGAAAAACACCAAAGGTAAGAAAAGAACACTTCTAATCGGAAGCGGACGGTCGCGAACAAGTGGAATTCTTTTAAATCAAAACCAAGAAAAGCAAACACACAACAACAGAAACACATTTCTGTTCATTTGGCCGGGAAAGCTTTTAGTAAGAAACACTCTTCTACCTTTCTTGTTTATATAGCTAAGAAAGTTGATGCACTTGAGTCTAAAAAACCATGTAAAACTACTCACTGGTACTAAGAATCTGTTTTAACTTCGTCATTCTGCGTGTTCTTTTTCGAGATAGGTTCTTTGATGTGCGAACAGGAATACCCGCTTTTGGTAAGTTTGTAATTTTGACTTTGTCTGAAAAAGAAAACCACAATTTCTCCTTCTATATAATTACAGAGCGGCTAATTTTAGTGACCGGCTCTATGAAATTTTTTAGAATCATGTGTGATTCTCATTTATGGATACACTTCAAAGTCAGATTGCTTTTGCGTTCCACAGTGATGCACGTCCGTTAAAACGCGTGGTTGGTTAATTATGTGTTAAGATAACCAAAAAAATCTATTTACTCAAGATTCCCATGTCCTGCTCTACGCTATACAGTTTAGGCTTTAACTCTGCGCATCTTTTCTTTTGTATTTCTCATTTCTACTAACGCGCAAATCCTACTTGTATAGGAATCTGAGTGCTCGTCATTTTCCCATGTGGTTGCTGGTGAGTAGCTTGTATTAAAGGACCGATGATTGTTGATAATAGTTGTGGGTGAGGAATGATTGGTAGTAGATTGTTAAAATTAGATTGTTTAATCGACATTGAAGGTGCTAACTGAATCTGCAAAACCTACAGAAATCTGGAGTAAAAAACATCAAGGAGAAAAAAACACAACTCATCAAACTCGAAGGCAATGTGGATGAAACTATTATTCGTATTCTTACTGATACGGTATTTGAATGATAATTAAGTTTAACTTGTTGTAAATGATTTGTTGATGTAGCTAATGACAGTGAACTTTGCGCTAAAATCATAAGGAAATAAATACTCGATAATGACATTTGAAACAGGCTTTTAAGCGAAACTAAAAAGGGCACAACAGGTTAGAGGCAGGTTCTTATCCGAAGAGGAAGACGGTATATGAAAAGATTACTTTGTCATCCAAATTGTGAGGGAAACGCACAAAATAAAATAAAGGTACGCTTACGTGGAATATTCGACGTTGTTTTTGGAATGGTTACAGTTGTTGTTTTAACTTTGTCTTCTTCATTACTAGCAAACGTGATGGACTAAATTCAACCAAATAATTTAAAGGTATGAGCGATGAATATGAGAAATAAGTCGTTCACTTACCGATTTGGTATCTATATGATTATTTTTTTTTCTTTTTCTACAGATGCTGATATCGTAGAAGTGGATTGTTTAGATGAGACAGCAAGTTTCGAAAGATTTTTGGTCAAGTCACCTAAAATTACAACCAAGATATATCAGACGACAATGGTGGGTTTCCTGGATATTTCATACCTTCATTGATTTCATTTTTCAAACCAACAACTGGAGTTTTTGATTGTTTTACTACTGTCGGATTTGGCTTTTCATACTAAAAACTACCTAAGAAACATTCAGACTGCACGAAAGTATCAAAACTTGATAACAGTGCTGCCTACCTTCTTCACATGAAGCTTCATGAGTTTTTACACTAGTCAAAAGTTGTGCAGGCGTTTTCATTGACAATTGCATATCTTCCTTTCGAGATGGATTTCCACTAGTCGTGATGGGTTTTCACAAATCTGGATTTATCTCAACTGCGAAAGACAAATAAGTAAAGTTGTTCAATACAAATGTGTAGAGCCACAGACTTTTCAAGGAAGTTACCTATTGTTCGTTTACTCGATGCTATCGAAATGCTGGGAAGAGACTTCTGTCTTAATGGTGAGACCAGTATTTGAATACATGGTTGTTTTGATGCAGAACATTTCTGCATAGATACCAGTGGTTTAACATTTGAAATGGCATCTGTATCTAAAAAGGAAAATATCCGGTGACATGCTTGTTGGTTTTAAACTGTGGGTAAACCTTACGTTTACGATCATACACCAGAACGTAAATTTTCACCGCTGTCGACTGAACAGGTCGAATGGTTTTAATTGACTTAAAGAGGCCCGCATTTATCATTCTAGGCCTTGTAAATAATACTGAGCAGCAAGATGGCTTACCGATTTCGTCTGCAAACTATTTTCTTTTCCTATTTTGATCAAAGATGAATATACTGATGTCGTTGATGAATCCATAAGCTGATTTTCAATTGATTTCATTACTCCTGAAAAACAAAGCATAAATAAAGAAATAAACGAATATTGACACTTATATAAGAGCTATAGAAACAACATACGAAGAAACAAACTTCTTGGAGCAAAAACAAAGAAAGCAAGAACCTGAGATAAAATAGTGTAAAAACAAAGGGACACAAAATTCTATGCATCCAAAGGATTACAAGTCCAAGAGAAAAAAGTCAAAAATATCATCACATTTTACTTATACTACCTGTGGAATCGAATTTCTCCTGATTGATCAACAGAAGAAAGGCGTGCACGGATCAAATCGAACTAAAACAGATCAAAGCGATCAAGACAGGAACACTTTTATCGATTATTCCGAATAGATGTCAAAAATAAATAATTTGATAGTAAAGCAGTAGAAATTAATTTAAATATTATTGAGTATAAAACTGCTACAAAGATCATCTAGATTTTTAACAAAAATCAGTGTAAGGTTTATTCAAGCTTTCGATAAGAGACACTTATCATCATTCTTTAAGACTTTCTTTTTAAGACTTATCATCATTTTTTCCTGATGATGATAGGTGTCTCTTATAGAAAACTTGAATAAACCTTACACTGATTTTTGTTAAAAATCTAGATGATCTTTGTGGCAGTTTTACACTCAATAATATTTAAAAATTTATAAAACCCATGCATGATTGAGTATTTGATTTTATGCTACTGAACGCAACAGGCCACTAAAAAGCTTATAAATCGCTTTAACTTTAAAGAGCTATGAATGTTTGCAAGTTGAATCTTATCTTAGGCTGGTAGGTGACTGGATGATTGGCATCAATGTGGCTACTGTTGCCTTGTCATCGGCAGATGGCTGATGTTGTTCAGATAATAATGACGGTGAAGCCTCATATTCTTCCTTATGATTCGACACTTCTGATCTTGGCAAAAATTGACCTGATGATTGTATTCTAACAAAGTATAAAAAGAAACACGTAAGACAATTATCCGTCAAATACCTATAGAACATACTTTCGTTTTTTTGAATCAACCAGTATATTTGTTGTTGTTTCCATATTTGTGTTGCAATACGGATGATGAAGTCTGTAAAATTCGATTCGATCTAACCGCTCTCTTGCACTTGGATTTAATCGTTGCTGAATATCTTTATCAATTATAAATGCATTTTTTGTATATTCAGTAACGTCGGTATCATGCTTCGCCAATCTTTCCTGCAAATTGTTGGGAAAACTTTTCACGTATACTGATGTTGCCCAATAGTTCATAAAGTTTTCATCATCAGCTGTTGATTCATTTAAAACATCTTCCATAAATACAATTAAACAATCATCTATCAATATAGCCATAACGTCGTGTATTTCACGAGCGTTCACAGTCATCGCGACTGCTCGTCGCACCGTCGCAAAATCGAACACACATGATTTTATCCTTAGAATTTGCGAGGAAATCCATGCTAATCGTTGCCTTTCTTGTACTCTTTTTTTGGCCTCAATGCTTGGTTTTTTCATTGACATGATTGTCAATAATGTTTCAGATATAGGTTATAAGAAACGAATGTTACAATATCATAAAAATTCTTGACCACTATATAAATTATACTTGACAGAATTCAAAAAAAAGATTTTAAATACTATAAAGGGAAATGAAATATAACATAATCCAGCTTTTCTAATCACTTTCAAAACTACGGTGCCATGTACTCTAAGGCTAAACGGGTCGGACTACTGACTTATTGTAGTTTTCATACATCTTCTTCTAGGCATTTATTTCATAAGTATTTCACCAAGAATTATAAATCAGTGTTCATATGAAAAACTACTGATTCACCTTTCACGTTTTCATGAAAAGAACTCTTAACCAGACAAAGAAAAGTTGCATGTGGGCTTTTCAGTGACATGTATATCATTATGGTAAACATCTGCTGAGAACGAGGCGTACGGAAATGACGAATAATCCTTGTTTGCATAGTCTTAAGAGAGTTTAAAAAATATTCCCATATACTATTACAGATACGCTCTAAACAATTTTGTGTCGCATATACTGTGGAAATCGAGAATGTGTGACAAGTCTTGAAAGTGATGTAGCAATAGCCAAACTTATTTTTCATTGTCGTATGTTCAACGACAATCTTTAGAAGATAAAGAGATGAGCTTTTTTCACATGTATTCAGACCTACAGGTAGGACAAGAAGTACACTATGATAATATCTTGGTTGACCTTTCTGCTACTCAATCTTTCTCATATATATATATGAGCGAATCGTAACTTTTTTGTACAACTGGAGGACGAAAATGAAAGTGACTTTTAAAAAGATCTGAAGCGTACATTTTGTTCGCCAT